GTTTCTATATTGCAACACATTTGAAGGTAATAAATCCTTATCTTGAGCATAATGAGCAAGCTGACATTCAGTACAACCGGTGTCTTTTATTTAGAATACTTAAATGGAATTTAATTCTTTTAGTTTGTCAAGAGATTTGAAGTAACGTGTTTGAAAAGTGCGCATGTGCGAACGCCCTCCACTATGTAAGAACGAGCCAAATATTGAGGTAATAAAGCAAAACAACTGAGAACAATTAGAAATAGTCCTCAGATGACATGTCTGTAATTTATATAAAACAAATCTAGCGCTAATTGGATCTCAAACAGTTTCATTAAAAGCAGTTATTACTCCACCACGTGCGAAACCAACGTGGTTGAACGATACTTTGCGACAGTGGGTTTCGGGAAACAGTCGTGACTAGCTAGTTGATTTTTCCAACGATGCATCGTACTATGGTAGTAAAGCAGTGAACTACGTCGTTGTACGGAAAACGCACCCCTGGTAAGCAAGAAAAAAAAAATCTATTTTTTATGCTGTTGAATTATTATACATTATATTATTATATTAACCACAAACCATTTTCAAAGATTGCTTTTTTCGATTGCAAACAAGCTTAAGGGCATAAACCATCATCTAAAATGATTTAAATTTTTTTTTTTAAAACGTGCTAATTTTAAAAGCAGTAGCATAATCAGACCAGAGCATACCTGTCTGTCTGCGCAGTCAAACAGATAATACTGTAGGACCACTTCTCATGACCTTAGACCCTCTGGTGTCGCAGTAAAATGACTAATGTGAACACTTTTCCAGATCATTCATAAGTCATCCTCCTTTTTTTTTACAGCAAAAGTAGATTGCAAGGACAAAGTAATGATGGTGGAGACTGCAAATGTTGGCTAACTAATACTTTTTGTAACTTAAGAAGAAATCTGACCATGTAAATATTTCTCTGCTGTCCACAGATGCTGGGCAGTCTAGGAATAGGAATAGTTTCACACAAAAAAAGAAAACTGCATCATAATTCACTCACTTCGTTTTTAATCTTTTCTTTGTTTTCTTTGTTGTGTTAATCAAAAATAGACGCTCAGGTAGTGATTTATGCCATTTTTATACATTCTATATTTTTTTTTCGAACTCCAAAAAGAGCAAAAAAGCACTTTTGAAGTAAATAAAGTGAAAGTGGTATGAAAGTGGTGAAATTGTGGAGAAACCTGAAATTGTAAGCTATGATCTAACCATTATAATTTATTTAACCTTCAGATGTTAAGGGTATCCCATTTCTACTGAAGTCATATGATAAGTTTATGTGAGAAACAGAAGTTCGATATTCACAATTTGTGTGTGCTAATTGTTTCATATGATTCATTACAATATTCTAATATCTTCAGTACAACACAAACTATTCGCCAGTGGTTCTTGAGTCCAGTACCATTATCTGTGTCAGAATGTCAATCACAGTCACCATGATAAGAAAGTCAAATTGGCCTTCTTTCCCAATCTTTCTTCATCCCTCCCTCCCTCTCTCTTTTGTTTTTGGTGCAAATGCCCCAGTTATGAAACCGCATACATCCCACTCAGTCAGAGGTTTGAGCTCCTGCTCCCTCCCACAGGGTATGTACCAATATGCACGGAGCACATTTTCACAGATGCCATCAGAGAACAAGCATATGAATTACCAGGCAGTCTGCCATCTTTGAGTTCAGACAGAATGGCATTAATACCAGATGAAGAGCCCAAACAACAACAGCACAACAACATGAAAGCCCAAAACAACTGGGACCAGGTAAAGGTTTCATCATTTTATATATTAATGTCTTGATTAACAAAGACTCCAAACTCAACTCTCACTCTCTCTCTTTCTCTCTCACACACACATACTCTTGTTCTATCTCGCTCTCCCTTTAACCCAAAAGTTGTGACACCACTGAAACTACTGGCAGACTTGAGGGACTCTGTGAAAAAGGATCCTGTCAGCAAAAATCACGTTACGATTAATAAAATATATGCCACTGTTGACCATGACTTATTCATGAGCTATTATGAATTCATGCCTACAATTAAAGAAAACACAATCGTTTTAAAATTGAATGGCAATAAATATTAGTATTACCCAATTAAGTCACAATTAATACTAAGCAGGCTGATTAGCTGCAAATGAACACTCCAATTAAAAGATCCACGTACAAATGGAATGAAAGGGGGAATTACACTGCCCATGGCATCTGGCCATGTTGAAACATGATGAGAATATGAGTTAGATGGACAAATGATAACTATTTGGGATTTTTACTTTTAAAAGTTAATGCAGTCTTTAAAAAAAAAAAAACTAAAAAGAAAAATGTGAAACTTCAGAGGAATCACAGATATAATATAATATAATATAATATAATATAATATTCAAAAGTTTGTGATCAGTTTTAAGTTCTTTATTTTATACTTTTATTCAGTAAGGATAAATTAAATTGATCAAAAGCGACAGAAAAGACTTTCACTTTACAAGAAATTTGAACATACTGTTATGAGCTTGTTTTAATTCTCTATTCATCAAATAATGCTGAATATATCATGATTTCCAAAGAAATATTAAGCGGCACAAGCATTTTTATGATAATAATAATACATTTTTTGAGTACATATCAAAACATTTAATTTAATTAGCAATTTCACTGTTTTTACTGTATTTTTGATCAAATAAATGAAGCCTTGGTGAGCATAATATACTTCTTATGCTTAAAGAACTGACATCAGGCAAAATCTTTGACAGGCAGTGCTAAAAACAGCTGATTATAATATATTTGAATTAATTAACCTATTGTGAGCTTAGAATTATAAGGTTCTATCTCCGTTCAGGGTAGTTCTGAGATATTGAGCATCAAAGTTTTTACATCCCAGCTGGCAAAACTGTCATGTAGTATAATCTTCTATTACAGCTTTATCTATTAATCTTTTTTTACAAAAATAACACCACACAGGCATTAAAGGAGAACTCCGGCGCAAAATGAACCTTTGGTCTAATTACACATTGTTACCTAGTCAACCGTTATCTGAGATTTGTTTTCATGATTACCGAATGTAAATAGTTTTATCTCTAAAAACAGTTTAGCCTATAACGCTAGTATAATGCTATATATAGGGCATAGAGTAATGGCAAATACAAATCGCTTGTTATTACCACTAACAAGGCTCAAAATAGCCCCACAGTAACACAGTAGCATAATAAGGGTCCCTACATTCAAACCGAAGCATTGAGAACTTTGTCAGTGTCCATACAGTTTACGTAAGAAGATATTTTATACACACAGTCAACTTCGCGAAAACAGGAAGAAGCCATCTTAGAAAAATAGTCTCTACTAGTCGCTCTACGAACGCCGATCCAAGTGCGCTGGTGAGATGTGAATAAGGTGATAAGGTGAGTGCGAACAGTAGGCTAGTACGTGTACATATTGAAGAGAAGAAAACGGTTCGCATTTGTGTTTCTTCGGGAAACGACGGACCATATGAGAATCTGCACAGTTCAGCACACTTGGATCGGCGTTCGTAGATCGACTGGTAGAGACTATTTTTTCAAAGATGGCTTCTTCCTGTATTCGCGAAGTTGACTGTGTGTAGAAAATATCTTCTTATTAAACTGTTTGGACACTGACAAAGTTCTTATTGCTTCGGTTTGTATGTAGGGACCCTTATTATGCTATCGTGTTAGTGTGGGGCTATTTTGAGCCTTGTTAGTGGTAATAACAAGCGATTTTTATTTGTCATTACTCTATGCCCAATCTACTAGCATTATACTAGTGTTATAGGCTACACTGTTTTTAGAGATAAAACTATTTACATTCAGCAATCATGAAAACAAATCTCAGATAACGGTTGACTAGGTAACAATGTGTAATTAGACCAAAGGTTCATTCTGCGCCGGAGTTGTCCTTTAATAAACACCTAATGGATCAGATTATGTCAAAAACTCAATTTCGACCAAAAGTGGAGATAGAACCTTATAATTCTAAGCTCACGCTATGTTGATATGAAGGCAACGAACTTTGTGCTTTGTTAATACGTGTTTACCAATAGAACAGTCTACATGTTGTCAGATAGGTTCAATCAATCCTTGCATACAGTACAACATGAGATAAACCTCTAAATCTTAAGACAATTAGATAAAGCTTCAGTAATGAGGAGGCATTAGGCATAAATAAAACATTACTATAGACCAGTACGTTTTAGTGATATGCAGGTCAGTGTTTTATTTGACACAAGTAAGGTTGCAGTTTCAGCTTAGGTGCCTGTTAACAGTACCGATAAGCCTTCCTGGCTGCACTTAGACCCCATATTGATAATGGCCCATTTTACTAGGCATAGATGTTTGGGTTGCATAATGGACAGTGATGTAGTCAGCCAGGAACTTTGCTTTAGATGAGCTTGTTGTTCCAATCGACCTTCTTAAAGACAGCGTATCATGCTGCCAGAGCACATAATGAAAAATAATCCAAAATAGCTTCAATTTATGTAAGGCTGGTATAAGGCAGACTTGAACCCAAAGGCTTATGTGGGTTTTTATGTTCACATGAGCAATCAAGTTTCCCCTGAGTCTGACCACCCACATTGTGATATTTCAGGCATAGAAAGTTCAAGGCATATTTGGCTCTCGATCCCACCACCGTCCCCCACAACCGCTCCTGCATATCAGCCAGCATCGCATCTAAAGCAAAGGACTCGTAGGGGAGTTTGTCAGATGGAAATATGACTGCTGATCATTTGGGAGAAGGTTATGACATGGTGGCAGGGGCTCTGTCAGGGCGAGAGAAAGAAAATGACAAAGATCGAAGGAGAGAAAGGCGGCAAACCTCAGGAGAGGATTTGTAATTCCTCCTGATGCTTCCCAAGCATCGGCTGACTGTTGACAGTCAGGCAGGCTGTGCCTCACCGAGCGCTGGTGTTTCCTTTGGGGCCCCCCTCCCGGCCGAGGGGGGAGGTGGAGAATTGCAATCCCACCCCGTCAAAGTGCTCTCTCTTAAACACTCACATACAACCACACACACACATACACACACACAGCAACTCTCCACAGGAAAAGCTGGAGACAGAATGCGCAGCCCCTTCACAGCAACTTTAGTGCGTCGTGGCGTCCAAATGGGATCTTGCTACACTTTGATAGTTGGTTAATTACTCATATGATACCACACAGATGTCTGGGGGGCTCTAGCCGAATATTCGTCTAACTAACTCACTGACTGATTGACTGACGGGATCCTGGGGAAGGCAGACATTTAAGGAGCGGTAGGTGAAAAACCAGGAGGCATTTATAATTCATAAGTGTAACAGTTTACGTGCCGTTAAGGATCTCTTTAGTGCCTAGCTGATGCTAAACTGAGATGCTACTTGAAGGGCTGTCTACTAAATAGTTCCTTGTGTACCAGGTGGTGGCAGGGACTTTGAACAGGAAACACATCTTGGCTCAGAAGTGTTCCTTTGCTGTCAAGATAATGAAAGGGGGTTTCAAATGATTTCAAACAAGATGAGAGTTGATTAACTTTTCTCACTTGTGATTCGTGTGTACGAATAGGCTAAACAAAATTTGATTTGTTGTTTAGGATAAAACTGCACAACTTATTTGAAAGATATTCTTTTTCTTGTGATTAGTATCCAAAATAGACATTTTATGCTCTTTTCGGCTTCATATATATATATATATGAAGCCGAAAAGAGCATAAAATATATATATATATATATATATATATATATATATATATATATATATATATATATATACAATATATGGCTTCGCTGTAATGTCAAAATACTATTTGGTACCACATTTGGTCACGTTATTAATATGTGAAGAGTTCAGATGCAAAAGCCTCTAAATGCCATTTGAAATTTTCTTCTAGAATGGTCATTTTTATCAAGCTTGTATATTTAAGTTCAGTCATTTCACTTAAATGCCAATTAATAGGTAATCTTCATTGCCATTTAAGTGAAATTACTGAACTTAAATATACAAGCTTGATAAAAATGATAATTTTAGAAGAAAATTTCAAATGGCACTTAGAGGCTTTTACATCTGAACTCTTCATTTGTTAATAAAAATACAACTCTTAATTATAAGTTCATGTTAGCGGGGCTCTGTTAAATAATATTAACAGATTCTACTTTTAATAATGTAGTAATGGTAAATGTTGAAATCAACAATGATTTAGATGTAATATTAGTTCATGATAAAATGGACCCTTATTGTAAAGTGATATCAAAAAAGTTAATGAAACTGAATTGTCATTAAACTGTTCTCCAATAGTGAAATTCCAAAAGACATATTTTTTCATGTTTAAGTTTGGGAAACTGCCCTAATGAATGCCAAACGCAAACCAGAGCGGAAATGTGTTGAGGAAACCAAGTGATGAAAGCCATGCAATGGGTGCATTTTTAAAATTACAAATGAAAAAACAAAAGCTTGGTGCTGTGCCACAAGCATCATGCCAGCACTGATGGGTACTTGCCTGGGATGACAGGAAAGGCAATGTCTCGTCCCCATAGCATGACAGTAACTCATACTGGCACTCTCCATCTGTGCTCCTCCACTAAATCCCTTTTGAAGTTGTGTTGAAGTTTTGCTCATCTAGTGTTATACTTTTAAGTAATTCTCTTTGATTTTGTTTCATTCTGAGGCCTGCATCGTATGTCTCTTTATTTTGAGAGTGTGAGCTGTGACGAACTAAACTTTACAACATTGTGTTTTTGATGTCCGTCCTGTTGTTTCTTTTCCCGCAGCTGCACTAATCAGGATCGCATCACCTGAAAATCAAAGAGCGAACTGCGTTCTACAATGGGCATTACGCCACTACAGTTGTTTTTGCTAATGGCCGTCCTGGCTATTGGCGGAATATGTCAGATAAATAGAACAGATGAAGTCCAGGAGAGTATTATTCAAAACTCTACTACCTCCCAAACCAATGTGCATAAGGGTCTCCAGCCCAACACCAAAAATGCCCTGCTGGATAACAATACCAGACTTCCACCCTGCAAAGATCCCACTTCCATCAAGCTCTATTTTAAGTACATTAACACAATTATTTCCTGTGTCGTGTTTGTGGTGGGAATAGTGGGAAACGCCACCTTGCTGAGGATTATTTACCAAAACAAGTGCATGAGAAATGGACCCAATGCTCTCATCGCCAGCCTGGCTCTTGGAGACCTCATCTATATCACCATAGACATCCCAATCAATGTCTACAAGGTAGGCGCCTTTGTTTCTTAATTATTTTCAATTAGTAGGAAACATGAGATAATGTAGTTCTCAAAGGGATTTTTCACAAACCAGACAGAAAGACCAGTCTACACTCTTAAAAAATAAAGGTTCTTTATTTGCATCTGGTTCCTTGAAACCTCAATGGAATGTTTCCATTATACAAAAGGTTATTTGTAGTGAAAGTTATCATAAGTTATCATATTGTTCTTCACACTAAGAAGAAAAAAAGGTTATTTTGAGAAATGTCCACTGAAAGATGTGGAATCAAAAACGGTTCTTTTATGGGATTTCTGAAAACGCTCTTTTGGAACCTTTATTTTTAAGAGAGCATACAGTGCAGTACAATACAAAAGAGAGTACTTGAGCAAAGGAAGGAACAATTAGCTGGCAGAGGATGTTGGGAGGGTGCTTAGATGCACAGGGCAAGGACCCTATAATTATACGGTCATTCACTGTTTATCTCCAGGGCCGTCCTATTACGGTTACTGGGGCTTTTTTGATGAGTACAGCAGGGATATGGCCTGATAAAATAAACAGAGGATAGAAGGGCCATCGTCCAAATTAACAGGCCTGTTTTGACTAATGCTTCATCACTAGCCAAAATTCCCTTGTCTAATACTCTGCTCATCAGTGAACACAGCACTTGACAGTGAACAGAGGCCTCTGGCAGATGGGTCAGTGATGTGACGCTCTATTTTTGTTTTTTCTTTAAAAATACATTAAAAGTGCAATTCAGACATACAATGGCCTTTTCAATCAATTATTTTCCAATTAATATGTTAAAACTATATATATATATATATATATATATATATATATATATATATATGAAGAGTTCAGATGCAAAAGCCTCTAAATGCCATTTGAAATTTTCTTCTTTAATGATGTTTTTTTATCAAACTTGTATATCTAAGTTCAGTAATTTCACTTAAATAACAATTAATAGGTAATTATCATTGCCATTTAAGTGAAATCACTGAACTTAAATATACAAGTTTGATAAAAAGCATCATTAAAGAAGAAAATTTCAAATGGCATTTAGAGGCTTTTGCATCTGAACTCTTCATATATATATATATATATATATATATATAACTATAAACTCTCTCTCTCTCTCTATATATATATATATATATATATATATATATATATGTGTATACTTAATGTATACCTAAAAAATATTAAACACATTTTTTATGATTAAAGTCCTCCTGTAGTCAAAAATGTAATCCCTTAAACTTATGTTTAATCACCAAAATGACTTATTTGAATATAAAAAAAATATTCATGTCTTAAAATAACTTGAATGTAACTCTACACCCTTGCCTTGTCTATGAATATGCAAATTTGCCCTGCCTCCACTCACTCACAGAAGCTTAGAGATTCACTCCTTGACTATCAGACTTTGAAGTGGTTCAATCAGTCAGAAACACCCACAATTCCAAACAGTGTTTTTGAGACTGTCTTTGTTTTGTTGCAGTTTTAAGGAGCATATTGCAGGTAAAACAAAAATCTAAATGAATATATAACCTTGTATGAAAAAAACATATGAAAAGTTAATTTAAAACATTTCAAGATTTAAAATGTTTCAAAACGACATAAGGGCACTAATTTAGAAGATAAAATGAGCATTCCTTGGACTGCTCGTAAAAACGGCTCTCTTTTTTTTATATCGCGGCATTTTATATCAAGACAGGGAGCCTCAGCCTCGCCAATTCGTCAAATATGTAGGATTTAAGTAGCAAAATCGTACTAATTCGTACGAGTGATGTCGCGTGAATTTTTACGAATTAGCCCCTTTTTAATCATTCGTCGAATTCGTACGACTTGGTCGTGAGATCGGGTTGGTTATTGTTGTATGTTATGTCTAATGTCTAATAAAAATAAATAAATAAAAAGGTTCAGTGCAGAGTAGGCTGGTATTCAGTAAGGCCGGTCGTCAGTCAGTGTGTTTTCGGTAGGTTTTGATTTATCATCGTCATGGTAAATTAATGTGTTTGTGGAAGTTGCAAAAACTCCGGCCAGTCAGGACATCGAGTCCACAGGTTTCTATAATAAGAAAAAGGACGGCGCTATCTTTCGTGCATTGTGCGGTTTGTGCAGGTGTAGTGACGGAATTACTCTTCCGCATCGGCTTCAAGAACCGCAGACGTGTGTAGCGTTCACTTCAGATCGGAGGATTATCGTCCCGGCGATATGGAGTTCAACATAGGATGCCGAAGCAAAAATGTTGATCGTCGTCTCGTGTACTGTACCAATGGCATCAAATAGTGTGATATAGGTAGTCATGCCCTAAATAGAGGCAACTTGTTACTGAAAAACAAAATTACTCAGACTGTTTAATTTTCTGTTTATGTTATAACCTGGATGAAATTTTTTTTTGTTTTTAGCACAATACAAATATAATCAAGTACAGTTTTTGTATACATTTAATAGTATAAATCTATCCCAAACATACCATAGACAGTAAAAGAAATGAACACAGCGACCCCATTGATTTCAGCGGAGAAGACTGAAGCCCGGTTATCGCACTTCCTGCCTGATGTCTGAGAGACTGCGCAGGCTCAAACTGAGCTTGACGACAGTCTGACAGTTATAAATCTTCTAGAAGCTGTGCCAAGACAAATCTAAATCCTAATTCCTCAAAAACGTTTTTTGTCCCGTTGCTTTTATGGACTCTCTATTTATGGGCTTCTCCCTTGACTTTATGCCTCCATGTCCCCCAGATTGCCTTATAGACAGTAAAAGATTGCCTGCAAGATTCTCCTCCTGTCTATACGTTAATGTCTCTATTGCGCGACAGAAAGTTGCGTGGTTATGACGCGGCTGTAACGTTAGATACAAAGTAATGTACCATTTTATACATTGTCGTGCTTCTTTAGAAATAAATAATGGACAAATTAAGTCTTTGGACGCCTCAGATGTAAAGTTATTCGCTGTCAAAGTGACGTCAAAATGAATGGGAGTCAATGGAATGCTAACAGCAGGTGAAGTTCAGCTACAATGGAAGGTCCCGCGATTACCCCCTTGAAACATATTACCTCCAACAAACTAATGTCTGCTGGCCTGATATACGATGGTAATGATCTGCACAATATTGTGAGCAGTGTATATCATTAGCGAACGTGTATATAATCTATAAGCTAACACTGGTCTCTTTCACCTGTTCTCCACTGGATCTCCACACACCACAACTCAATTTGTCTCTGACCGTTCTGTATAACATTAATCCCGGCCTGTCCTGCTCTCTTGGCAGTATAGCAGGCTCATAATCGTATTGCTTTGGTCCGTCATACGAGTAAGTATTTCCTCAGCATCCGAAATATCATTACGATCCATGGTTTTCGGCATTGAAACGACCATTCTCCCGCCTGTTACGTCACTCCCGCCACGCCCATTTTCAGACGCGGAAGTAAAATTTTCTCACAAAAACGACTCCAGAAGCTTCTGTATCGTATTTATAAGTATATTTTAAATGAAATCTAGTTTCTACATTATTTTTCTATACATTGACTCGTTGGGTCCTCTAACTGCAATATGCCCTTTAAGGAGAAAATACTCAGCCATGGTGTTGACATGAATTTGCTCATGGTTTCTCTTAAAGCATATTGAAAACACTACATAGACATTTAACAACATTTAATTCTTGATTTTTACTTGAATTGACTCTTTAAAATACATTTACTTAACTAGATTTTTTTCTTCATCTTGGACCAATTTTTACAAATTTCATTTTGAGGACCTTTTCAACATGATGTTGGGTGGAGATCCAGAGAGCTTCTTTATTAGGATGGAATGTGTCCATTTTACATTGAAAGCTCATACAACATTTTAAAACGGAAGTGTGGTAGTTAGCATGTCTTGTTTTGTGACGCACAGACTTCTGTGCACTTCAGACCACTGACTTCCAATATACATCAAATGCAAATACACTCTCCATCTGTGCTAAACTCTACACGCCTCATACAAACAGGGCCAGGATACACCCGTGAAGAGCTTCCTTTCTAAACTTAAGCATAATCCACATACTTTTCCTGTTTAACAAAAGACTACACCCTTTCAAAGAACCCTGTCAAGGCCACTTGAATGATTGGACTTTGCAGGAGTCCAAACCAACAAAACACAAACCTTCTATGACGCAAAACTTCATTTCATAATGGGGTACACATTTCAAAAAAGATGACATGAGGATTTTCTTTTCAACCCTACTAGAGTCTTCCAAGGTGAAAACTAGCAAAGGTACACAACCAACTAAGAAGTGTCAGGGCCGATATACAAGTAGCCATTGAAACTGCACTAAACCAATTTTATCAAGACAAGATGTGTGCCCTTAAGATCAAAGACAGGAACAGAAAGTCAAAGCAAAAAAATCTGCTACTTATTTAAGCAAAACTGTTTTAGAAGCCAGCAAATTCCAGAAATGTAGACTGCCTCAATTATGGTTAAACATCTCCATTTCATTCCAACTTTATAAATGTATTTAAGGACATAAACTATTAAAATAAATAAGAAAAAATGTCCAAAATTTCATTCATCCCAATGCAATGTATTCTACTAGAGCTTGTGGGTCATATGGCTGAGGAATCATAGAAATAAACAATCCTTTTTTTTCTTTCAGCTGCTTGTCACAAAATGGCCATTTGATGACAGCTCATTTGGTCTCTTTCTGTGCAAACTGGTTCCATTCCTCCAGAAAGCATCGGTTGGGATTACAGTACTCAATCTGTGTGCTTTGAGTGTGGACAGGTAAATCACTGCGTCACCATTTTTATATTTACCACTTTCAGAGTCTACATGTTCTAAACCTCATTTTAAAAACGTGCCTTTTAATTGTCAAAGAGTTTTGATAATGAGAAAATCATCTAATAAAAAAAGCTACCTACACACCTTTCTTAAACATCATGTTTCCTTGAGGTAAAAGGTTCAAATTTCACAGCCACGGTCTTAGGGTCAGGGAGAGACAAAGGTCAGAAGCTGGGTTTATGGTTTTAGGCCTCAATATGTTGTCGTTCACTCCTCTTAGTCTTAGCTATATAATTCAGATATTTAAAAATAAACATATTTTAAATTACTTAATCTCACTGTATGATTCTTGTACATATGAAGAGTTCAGATGCAAAAGCCTCTAAATGCCATTTGAAATTTTCTTCTTTAATGATGATTTTTATCAAACTTGTATATTTAAGTTCAGTAATTATTTAAGTGAAATTACTGAACTTAAATATACAAGTTTGATAAAAATCATCATTAAAGAAGAAAATTTCAAATGGCATTTAGAGGCTTTTGCATCTGAACTCTTCATATTCAAACCAAGCATGATCTAACTTTTCAGACTCTATAATTTGTATTCTAATAAGTAGTAAGCATTGTGGGAGCATTGTATTCTGCCACCAAAATACACTATGCTATCTTTATCAACAAAAACAATTAAAGGAGTGGTTTACCGGTTGTTGTTGTTGTTTTTGTTTTTTAAATGAGCGATCGTTCCACTTGATAAGCCCTTTATTCATCATCTGGAATTGTTTAAAGCCCTTTGCACTGAAACTGTCTTTTGGACCATGAACCGTTTGGTTAACAGTAAAGTGTATTATATGAAGAAAAATCCTGGAATGTTTTCATCAAAAACCTTAATTAATTTTTTAAATGATGAAAGAAAGACATGGACATCTTGGATCACATGGGGGTGAGTAAATTATCAGCAAAAGTTTTTGTTTGTTTTTTTTAAAGTGAACTACTCCTTTAACTACACAAGCTTACAATCCAGTTTTGAGTATTTATTTCATTGAACACGTGTGTCTATCTGTATATATTGTATTTGTTAAAATACTTGTATTTGATATTTAATATTGTATTTGAGTTAGAAGCTCAAACTATGTACAGGTCATTAGTCAAAAATTTGCTTAATTTCTTTCTTTTCAACTTATCCACCATTTTAAAACCAGAGATCTATCTGCATTTAAATTAAGAATTTTTGTATGAAATGAGAAAAATCTGTATTTCCTGTATCATCTTGATCAGGGTGGTTCCAGTGAAAACCCTCTCAGGAAACATTAGTGCATTTGCGCATGTGGTTTAGAGGAAAAGGCGGGATGTGTCACGTGAGCTCTTCCAGTTCTTGAATCAGGGCACTTCCTCCAGTATATGCAACGCATTCTCATCCTTTAACGTCATATAGAGCGCTATATGACAAAACGGCGCTATACTACGCTAAAGGCACCCGTTATCGTTAATATAACACGTGCTGTGAGGGCTAAGTTTAGGTGTGGGGTAGGGTGTACGTGTCATATTCACGCTAAAGGATTTATAACGTCTTGGGTTCGCGTGTTATATTAACGATAACGGGTGCCATGTGCGTAGTATAGCGCCGTTTTGTCATATAGCGCTCTATATGACGTTAAAGGATGAGAACGGGCTGGTATATGAGGTCAGCTTTGATGGGCACCTCTCATTAGAAAGTATTTTCCTCATCAGGAGCACTAAAGCCACCTGCGCACTTCAGTTTAAACGCTACTAAAGGAGGAATCGCTGTTATCTTGTCGTATGTCTTTACAATAAAACTAAACTGTAATGTTGTCTTTTGGCCAAACTGTTAAGCCAAAAACAAAAGTGAAAATTATCTTTTGAAAACCATAACATAATTTGAGCTCCTTCAGGGAAACTATAGGACTTTATATTAATAAAAAAAAAAACAATATAATATCCCTCACTTTTTCCCATGTGAATGATGTGTAATTGACATTTAGAACCAAAAGAGCGAATATGAGCCACAAATGTCTAAGCCGCAGCCCGTCACAATTTTTAAAGAATGAATCACTTGAATCAAATGGCTGGACTTAATTTCACAACAGCACAGCCGCTTTCAATTAGTTTCTGAATCATGCAGAGGCAATGTTCAGCACATCTCGTCTGATCCGTTCTCCCCATGTTATCATGTCTTTCTTATCTGTCTGAGTTTTGGCAAAGTGGATACATCTCTACTTAGTAAAATATAAATGTCCCATTGTTGTTGAACAGGAATATTCAAATGGGTTATAAAATATATATATATATGATTATATAAAATCCTGATGCACCGTTTTACAGAATCACCCACAAGAGAAACGGTATTAATGAAACAAACAAGCAAACATGACTTTGAGCAAAGGGAAACAAGCAGCCAGGCATACCAGTGACTATATCCAAACAAACAGCTGAAGTGTATCTGCAAGCTTTTTAGTAATATGCATATTACAATGCAAAACAGCCTTTTCATTAATCTTAGATACTGTTGCTGTAAACCAGTAGCTGAAAGTCGACTCGGCACAGCTGCACACACGGCAATATTTCACAGGTTTCCCACACGATAGGAATCTGATCTGTAAAGCTTTGCAGGTGTTGATGTAAAAAAAAAAAAAAATGGCGTTGAAGATTATACATACTTATCTGAGGTCATTCACAGAGATGTTTAGTAAACATATCTTCAATAAAGTGAATCTTTCCATCAATCTATTTTATGCAAAGTTTGGTATATTCCATGGGGGGGGGGAAAGGATTTTCTATATTTATTCGATAAGAGGATGTACATAAACTGTGATGAAAACACATTCAAACAAATCCCTTGATGCGCAAAAATATCAAAAATTTAAATTCTCAATTTTCATTGCACAGCATCTTAAATGTCTGTTTGGTCAATGACAAAGTCTGTCATCAAATTGTTGGGGATAGTTACCTCCCAGAACTGTCTCACATGACCGAGTTCCCAAACACCAGGCATCCACCTCCGAACACAAGATAACACGACGACATTCATTGCATTTTATCTGCACGCTTTGAGGCCCAAGTAATCTATAATGCACACTACCCCTATTGCAGCAACTTCTATTTGTATAACAGATAGCCAATTTACCAAGTGACAATATTGTTCTCTTAAAAACAGTACATGCACTGTTAAAAACAAAGTTGCTTTTTTAAGTAAAATCAACTTGGATGTTTTAAGTCATTTCAACTAACTTAAAAAAATAGTTGAATCTTGTATATCATCAAAAAAATGAAAATGGATTAACTTATTTTAATAAGTTAAAGCAATGTAAAAACATGTTATAACTTATTGATCATCATATAATTTTATTGTGTGGGATAGAAATTTCGAAAATTGTTTTCAAATCGCGATACTCCACTTTTTGCGGACAAGTTAAATGCAGATCTTTGGATGAAAACATAGCTAATGACATGTCTCTGTTGTGAAATGTTACTCCACTTTTTGGAAATAGGCTCCAGATAACTCCTCCAGAGTGCAGTTTAGTTTTACCGTTTTTGAATGCATTCAGCCGATTTTCTTATATTTAGAAAAATATCAGTAACCAGATGGTTTCTGGTCTCATTGACTTCCATAGGAAAAAAAATATTTATATACTATGGAAGTCAATGAGACCAGAAACTGTCTGGTTACTGATATTCTTCTAAATATAAGAAAATCGGCTGAATGGATTCGAAAACGGTAAAACTCAACTTTTTGACTCTGGGGGAGTTGTAAAATGAACTTATTTCCAAAAAAAAGTGGAGTATCACTTTAAAACAGATGAGCAATCTCATGAGAGTTTTGTTTTTGTGGCTCAGGTACAGGGCTGTAGCCTCCTGGAGCAGAGTGCAGGGGGTCGGCATTCCCCTCTTTACTGCCATTGAGATCTTCTCTATTTGGGTCCTGTCCATTATCTTGGCAGTACCAGAGGCAATAGTCTTCAACATGATCACCTTCACCTACAAAAACCAAACCATCCACACTTGTATGCTCAAGCCTGAAAGTAACTTCACAAAGGTAAGCTTTAATCGGACGGGTGTCACGCCAACATCGTTTCCCTTCATTCACATAAACACTCCAGCACTTTTTGCAATAAACAGTGCATCCTGTGAGGTTGACCTCGAGCAGGATGCTATGCACGATTTCTGACATCATTTACAATCTTTGATCTTGAAAGCAACATTTTGCGTAAATCACAGACAATGCAGGGGGATAAGACAAGTAAAACCTTTGGAGTTTTCTTCAGTTTTCCCATGCAGACGATATCTGGAGTTTTCTTTTTCTTTGTTCGGTCCAAAGAAGTAAATTGATAGCAGACCATTGCAAATTACAAGCTGATGTATCTCTCACAAGCAGAGCCATATGTGTGGATGAGAAACAGAGTTCATTCTCTCATTTGAACCCTACCATTAATCTCAAAAACATTAGAACATTCAAATGAGACAATTTAATATAGCACAAATTAAATTATATTAATAAAATGAACATTGCGTTGTTTTCATTTTGAGTACTGTTTTAGATCTTAAACAGTTATGCTATGGGACCTAGGGATCATGTAAGGTCAGCTGATTATTATCATAAAATAAACCAAACAGAGTGATCAGGATGCATATTTATTGCATGGCTATATAAGTAAATTATTGAATAAATGTTCATTTAAAGCTACACTGTGTGATTTTTACCCCCATCTAGCGGTGAACATGATCATCCAGTGAATATTAGTTTCTGTTCCTCTCAATTCCGATTTCGTTTTAACTCCTACGGTGGCCAATGTAGTCCATGAGTGTTAACTCAAACGTAAACGCGAAAGGCGAAGCTTGAATTAACGGGTATGTCCCTCTTTGGCTAATGTACTTTCAAGATGGAGGGGCAACATGGCCACCGACATTAGAACCCCTTACCCGTATGTATTTTCAATGGCATATTATACACTCAAGAGAATACTTTATTACTTGAACAAAGTAAATGTACATTAATGATATATTTTTGAAAGAACTAAGTGTTTTTAGCTAAGAATAAACTAAAAGAATTACACAGTGTAGCTTTAACTGCTAAGTAAAGAACAACAACAAAAAAGTTTACAATACTGAAATTAAAATAAATTACAATTCAACTTGTATTTTGTTCCATTTATTTAGGCTATTATACATATTATATTTATGCTATTCCTGTGATGACCACGCTGAATTATTCCAGTCTTCAGTGACACACACTTTCAGAAATCATTATGGTGATTTTGTTCTAAAGCAACATTTCTTATTGTTATCACAGTTGAAAACAGCTGTGCTGCTCAATATTTAATGGAAACAATGATAGTTTTTTATAAATACAAATTTCAAATGAACAGCATTTATTTGAAAAAGACTTGTTTGTAACAAATGTTTAAAAGACGAAGAAAAAAAATCTCACTGACCCCAAATTTAGTCTATATCATATAAGCTAGAATGTCTTCCTCTTTTCTTTTTTTTTTTCTCGAATCCATCTCTTTATTTTTCTCTACCGGTTCATTGCTTCCAGCTTCTAAACATCAAAAGCTTAAGCTCACAGTTAAAACAATACTTAAGTCCTCAGAGGACCTATATTTTTTACTACTTTCACCTTCACTCTCACTGTTTTTTTTTTTTTACAATAAACATAATGGATGCTGTCTTTCATCTGCTTTCAGTTATATGTAGATTTGAAAGACTGGTGGTTATTTGGCTTTTACTTCTGCGTGCCACTGGCCTGCACAGCTATTTTCTACACCCTCATGACATGTGAAATGCTCCACCGTAGAAACGGAAGCCTTCGGATAGTCCTCAGTGAACACCTTAAACAGGTAAGCAAAAGTCCTTAATACTAATGGTCATAAACCTTCGAGTCAGTATCATTTAAACATAAGTATTACTGCAAAGTGAAAGAATTATAAACAATTAGATCGTGGAGGGGCAACCTCGGTCCTGGGGAGCGGAGCCAGTGTCCTGCAGTTGCAGTGATCTTTTTAGTAATTTAGGAGACCTTGTTAAACCTGGCTGTTCAGATCTATTTGATTAGGATTGGAATTTGGAACTAAACTAGGCAGAGCAGTAGCCCTCCTTGCCCATCCTTGAATTAGATGATATTATAATAATCTTTTTAGCCTGTTATGTGCTAAAGTCTGTAAAAAAAATATCTCTGAGAGAGTACATTATGTAACACTGAACATCCTGCGGTTCTAACGGCTTGTTTATGTTTTTCAGCGTCGTGAAGTGGCTAAAGCAGTCTTCTGTTTAGTGCTGATCTTTGCTCTTTGCTGGTTCCCCCTTCATCTCAGTAGACTGTTGAAGAAAATGGTTTATGTTCCAACTGATGAAAGACGCTGTGACCTACTCAAGTGAGTGAGCCTTCGCCAATTTTTACGCTCAACTGTGGACTGATTTATTTTAAACCCCTACATACTTGTACTGTATATGCATGGTACTTATTTCTTGACAAGTTTGTACTAAAGTGTTTACATATGTGCTAAATACTGTTTACAATACCCCTAACAGAAGCTGTAAGACTCATAACTTTTTCCAAAAAAAAAGAATATATAAATTAGATACAATCATAAAATTAAGATATATTTTAAATTTAGTACTGTCATTAAAAAGACTGCTTAAAACTCAGTATTTGATTATATTTCACAAGACAAAATAAAATTGTGATAGTTGTGTATGAGTCCGTTAGTTGGCTACTGAAGACATCATATAGCCACAATTGGAAAAACTCAAACATAGAGCATGATGGGAAACCAAGACCACAGGATCTTAAGGAATTTTTGTCAACATTATTAGGCAGCTTCCCTTCTCAGGACAGATCAGGGACAGTAATGAAAACCCTGGAAATTTCAGTGACAGTAATTTAAAAACAAGTCATGGATATTAATACATTTTTTTTTTTAATTATGTGACTATATGTTTTGTGTGATTTTTTTTTTTTTTTTACAATCTCAGCTTTAAATTAATTGTTGCATTTTAAATTTTCAGCTAGCATTTAGTACATGTGACTCTAAAATAATCTTATTCAAAAATGACAAACGTCTTGTAGATAGTGCAAGTGGTATATAAACTTACACACAACAAAACTAAATGAGTGTCCAAACTTTCAGCTTCCTGTTGATCATGGATTATTTTAGCATCAACTTGGCCACTGTGAACTCCTGCATCAACCCCATCATCCTCTACTTTGTCAGCAAAAAGTTCAATAATTGTTTTAAGGTGAGTGCTTCTTCCTTCATTAACAAGCCATTGCAAACAGACTCATACAGAAAGAGTGAATATATGTCCTTATGTCACGACTTAGCAAAATCAGCAGTCACAGACCATTCAATCAGCAAATTGTGCTTGATTTATGGATACAAATGTTTAGGTGTCCTGTGACTCATTCTCAGAGAGAGATAAGCCATGCCCAGCCCTGGTTGTCTGAGCGTAGATTACAGACAATGATGTCAGATCCTAAGTGGGCCCCTTTTCAGTAATGAGGATGATCCCTTAGATAGAATGCAGCTGAAGCGTTTGTGAGACAAACCATAACACCAACTCGGTTGGCCAACCCAAGTTCATGGACCTAAATCTGTGCAAGAGATGGTGCAGATCCAAGAAAAATATTCAACATTGATTTACTATGGGCCAAATGTAGTGCTGCAGATAAGAAATACTGATTCATTTCAACCTATCACCTCTAATACAATACAAATGTGCACTACTTAATCCAAACCAAGCTTGTTGAAAACAAAAAAGAGCCTGCGGGGCAGCATTTCTGCACAAATAATATTGTGCAGATGATGCACGTTGTTTCTTGTACATTTTACAGCATGTTCAAATTGAAATGTCCCATAAATGGTGCTAAAAGCAGGATCAATTGTTATTTGAAACAGAAGAAAATAAAACAGTTTTAACAGTTTTACAGTTACCGTGACAGTTCAAAACGGACATTTTCATCAAGTGCCGCTAAATTTTAAAGCGGCTAAAAGGTTCAAACTCTACCTCCTTCGAAAATATCGTAGCACCAAAATGTAACCGATAGTTTTAATAAAAGTAAACCATGCCATTTTAGCTTACTCCTAAGTCTCTAAGCTCTTTAATCGAGTTTCAGGACACGTTTTTTTTTTGTTGTTGTTGTTGTTTTTGTTTTGTTTTTTAAATGGACCTGTACACTGCAAAAAAAATGTTTTCAAGATTTGTTATGACAACATTTTTTCTTTTGTAAAATCAACTTAAATAATTTATTTAGTTCAGATAACTTATTATTTTGAGTTTCTGATGATTAAATCAATCTCCTTCATTTAACTGTCACCGTCCCACAGGTGGGACGCTTGCCATTATATTTTTAAAACAATAATATCTTTGAAAAGACTTTGAAAAGAGTAATATTGACAAACTATATATCATTTGAAAGCTTACAATCTCTAGTTTCCATATTTGGTAACTAATTTTCAAAATAATTTACACAGGAGCCGTAATTTATCAATTTGAAACAAGAATATTTTCATACTCAGAAAGCGTGTTCAGACCTTTATTTTGAAATAGCAATGAACATGAAAAATCATGAAAAAAAGTTAGAAACCTCAGTTTGATTTCATGCCAAGAGTTCAAAAGATAACATCCATTCAATTATTTTAGAAAAAAAGGTCTGAAAATGTTTTAAATAATACGAAAAAAAATAATAGGTTCACCGTTGTGTTGTGGCAATAAGCTATAACGCGCATGCGTGTTCTTTGTATGTGATTCTTAGAGGTTGAATTCATATCAAAATCTGCCAAACTTCCCATACTAATTCTGTATAGGATTTCTACTTCAAAAATTGTGTGAAATTTGTGAAAATAATGGTTCAGATCACTCAAAACACATATGGAAATGGAGGCGCCCTTATACAGTATGGGCTGTAATGGAGACTGGTTGTGCCCTAGTGAAAAAGTTTGGTACTGCGCCCAAACTAAATCTCACTTAAAGCTAATTTTTTTAGATATCAACCTAAAATTTTAAACACAACTTGTTCAGATTTTTGGCTTTGATTTTTCTGCAGTTTTAGAGTAGCCCAGGTTTTGAAAATATATATTTTATATAAAATATGAATAATAATTTTTTTTACATTGTACATTTCTATAAACTCAAACTTTCTGTTTCACTTTCTTAATTTATTTCACTTCGAGAAAAATCTGCCAAATGTCTTCTTTAAACTGAGACCAATCTTACGTCTATATTCCAAAGCATTCTTGAATTACAACCATTTAAGTTTGAAATGAGCATTTCCATGTCTATTCAAAAAAGGGGGGTGACAGTTCTCACTTTTTCCAGTTCAATCAACTTAAAATTTTAAGGCAACCAGGTTACTTACTTTATTAAGTTAAACCAACAATATTTTTAAGCGTTCCGGATCACAAGTGCAATGCTGTACCAGGTGCTCTAGTGAGCAAGTTTACTACTGTATGTAAACCCATGACATGCAAACGTGAAAAAAATGTATTATGCACTATGGTGTGTTTTGGGGTCATAAAATACATGTATCTTTTTTTTTGTGTGTGTGTGAAGTTTTGCAAAGCAGCAGCATGTTTTTATAATAAGCCTATGTTGCAACAATCAAATGATTTTCCTTTTATCTTTATCACTATTTCAGTCCTGCTTGTGCTGTTGGTGTCATACCAAGAACCAGGTGTCCAGCTCAGGCCCCATGAACGGCACTAGCATTCAGTGCAAAAACCATGAGCCCGGCAACCTAAATACCGACAGAAGCCTTCGCAAATACAGCGACTGAGAGGTGGAGGACAATCTACATACTTAAAACGCATTCAAAAAGCGGACATCAACATCGTCATTGTCAAACTTTGAGGTGGAAAGCATATAACCATTCATATGAAACTAAAGGCCTAGTACTCAGCGCAGTATCAGGCTGTTTTTATATATATCTTCAGATCAGACAATGGACCTGATATATTTAAAGTCTCCCGTAGACACAGAGCAGCTGTTCCCAGACATTCAGAGTGTTGTTTTTCTGTGTGCGAGAAGTGGTGGGAGTGAAGACCAACAGAAACAGGATGCAGCTGAACCTAACAGCTACAAATTAACCCTCATCAGGAGCTCGACATGTTTTCCAGTAAATACAGCACTATGAACAAGCTCTGAATCGTCACTGTCTGATGTGAAAGGTAGTTGCAGAAAGGAAGAGTAAAGCGGTGAGGGTCAGTGTGTGTGTGTGTGTGTGTGTACGCAACGCATTCTCACCCCAAGGCGTCACCTTGCATCAATATTTGACGTTTTAGGCGCCCTTTAGCGTCACTTACATGACGCGATCCTACGGCGTCATCTAACTGATGCTAAAGGAAAGCGTCAGTTAGAAGACGCGGTTAGGTTTAGGTGTGGGGTGGGGGTAGGGTACACGCGATCCTAGGGCGTCATCTAAGTGACGCTAAAGGGCGCCTAAAGCGTCAGATATTGAAGCATGGTCAAATGCTTCCCAAGGCGTCAGTTAAGTGACGCCTTGGGGTGAGATGTTCCAACGCATTCTCATCCTTTAACGTCATATAGAACGCTATATGACAAAACGGCGCTATACTACGCACATGGCACCCGTTATCGTTAATATAACACGTGCTGTGAGGGCTAAGTTTAGGTGTGGGGTAGGGTGTGCGTGTCATATTCACGCTAAAGGATTTATAACGTCTTGGGTTCGCGTGTTATATTAACGATAAAGGGTGCCATGTGCGTAGTATAGCGCCGTTTTGTCATATAGCGTTCTATATGACGTTAAAGGATGAGAACGGGCTGGATGTTCCTTCCTATAAGCTTTGCCAAAGAAACTCCCATGCAGCTGAGGGGGTAGCCTATCCCTCAAATTCAGTGTCCGGTTGTTATTGTTAGCACATTGAATGCAGTCATGGAAGCTTGATCCAAAACTAGTTTGTAAAACAGGAACTTTCAGGTCACCACCTGGCTCAAAGTTTATTTAGGTTGTTTGGTGAATCGTATTGTGCGCTGGACGTCAACTCTGTTTATATAGAGGAGTAGGAAGAAAATGAAGATATGCCTTTATGTTTGAATGTCAAATTAAGTTCCATGTGTATATGCTTGAAAGGTGTTAGAAGAATATGTTAGCTCAGAATAAATAATAATAATAAAATAAAAATATGAAGATCATACAGCACATGTGAAATGTAACAGCTGGATTGTGTTTCAGATGTAAGAGTAATGTCTAGGAATGACTCCAACTGCAACAAATGCTGGGTTATAGTGTGAAAGAAAAGAAAAAAATATTGAGCATGAGGGCGCGGGAAAGGGGGCTTTTGTATAATCAAAACGAAAACGCCCAAGAGATACACACATATCTTTGCTATATTTTAACACTGTGAATGTTCTGTAAGAGAACTCATACATGCTATTAACCTTGTATATATTACGTCAATATTATTAATATTTAATGGTCTCTGTATTTGTATATCATCTGCATTTTAAGTTGAAATATTTGGTTTCTTTATCTTGTTGTACCAAAAATATACACCACCATTCAAATGTTTGGGGTCAGTAAGTATTTTTTTTAAATAAATGTATACCGTCATTCATAAAATATTTCCGTTTCAAATAAATGTTTTTGAACTTTTTATTCATCAAACAATCCTGACAAAAAAATATAGCCTATCAACACTGATAATAATAACAAGAAATGTTTCTGGAGGATCATGTGACACTGAAGACTCGAGTAATGATGTCGAAAATGTTGCTTTGCAGTCACAAAAATAAATGATATAATAAAATTAAATTAAATTGGAAAAAAAGATATTGCAAATTGTACTAATATTTTACAATATTGCAGTTGTATTTTTGATCAAATAATCACAATCTTTGTGAGCAGAAGAGACCTCTTTCAAAGAGTTACCAACCCCAAACTTTTGAACAGAAGTGTATAAGGAATTTGAAGAAATCCATTTTCTTTTTAACATAATTTGAAACTAATATGAATGTTCTGACAGAGATCTACATGGGTCTTGTTAATTTGACATGCTTATTGTTGAGAGATATATTTGTGCATGGCAAAAAAAAAAGTAATGTTTGTATTGAAGTTTGATGTTACGGATTACCCTTGTCACACCGGTTGAACTTTACCACCCCTGAGTGAGGAATGTTGCATATATATATATATATGTGTGTGTGTGTGTGTGTGTGTGTGTGTGTGTGTGTGTGTGTGTATTATAGCACTGTGGCAACCAGACATATGTTTACTATATATGCTATGCAGTACAGAAAACTAACTATAGATTATTTTACACATCATGACTGACTGATTAAAACATGACACTTCTTCTTATAGACTGTAATTGCATTAGTCCAATCTTTTAAATTAGCTGCAAGTTATTTTTGAGAGTAATGGACCAGACTATTGATTCCACCACTTATCTCCAAATGTAACAAGTTTCAGTGTTAAAAAAAGATAGGTGCCTTGTGACAGCTGTCTGTTTTGGCCTGGGAAGAAGCTCCAGTTTGGGAGTGATTTGTGATGCTCTTTGACCCACAATGCAACACGGCCCCTCAGGGTCATCAGTGTCAACCTAGAGGATGTGAACGGGGCATATAAAAGCCTTAATGTAAACTGTGGAGCTTAAACCATTATCTGTAATGTAAGTTACTGTTTATATCAGTCTTATAGTGGTTTGGAAAAATAAACGTTTTTTTTTATTTTTATTTGCTTGTGTGTGGTTTTGTAATGTTATATTATATAATGAAGATGATGGTTATGTATAAGCACAGTAGACAAACTGTTGATCTGGTCTCAAACATGATTCATCTGAAAAAAAGAGGTATATGCTCTAACAGTTACAAATGTGTATTAATTAAAAAGATAAGTTTTGATTGATATAAAGTCATTGCAACACAATGTTCTAGGCTGAATATAAACAGGGCATGCTCACGAGCCAAAATAAGCATTTTGTTTATTTTAAGACTTTTTTTTTATCACACATGGAATTTAGAAATTGAATTAGAGAAGAGACAAGTCTGTTTTGAGAGTCTACTATTGAAAGCATAATGCAAAAAAATAATTTCTCATCAGAGATTGGAGGTTTTTTTTTTTATTCTCATGAAACTGCCTTCAGGGAGATGGTTTTATGTCCAAGGAATTTGGTGGGAACGTCTGAGCCTGCCAAGGAAGAAGCAGATGAACTCAAAGGCAAAGTAACACAGAGAAACTTTGAAATAAAATAAAATATAAATAAAATTATAATTAAATTTAAAATAATTGAAAAGCTGACATGTGCAACTCACATCACTGGAGAAACTTACCCCGATGCCATAAAAATGTCTTTGTACTCAAATATTTAAAATAGGGCTGTAAAAACGATTAATCCAAAATAAAAGTTTTTGTTTACATAATATATGTGGGCGCACTGTGTATAATTATTTTATATATACAGTATAAATACACACATATGCTAGTATATATTTAAGAAATATTTTCATGTATATACTGTGTATGGATTTATATAATTTATATTATAAATAAATATAAATATTTTATATATAAATAATATTTTTTCTTAAATATACATGCATGTGTTTATACTGTATATATACAAAATAATTATACACACTGCACCCACATATATTATGTAAACACAAACTTTTATTTTGGATGCGATTAATTGCGATTAATCGTTTGACAGCCCTAAGTTAAAACAATTCTAATGTTGCTCTGCGGTATTGAAATCAATGTTTTTAAAAAAGTAAACATTTGAAAAAGTTGTTGACTTGGAACTACATGTGCATTAAACGGTTTAATTGGACACCTTCCAGCCAATCAGAATCACGTATTCAGACAGACCATGGTATTCTATACATATAATATAATTCTTTATCCTGGCTTTAGCAAAGGTCTCTCAACAAAGCACATAATTATTTTCAGAGGAAAAGTAGCTCTCCAAGGCCATACTACCATAAGTGCTGACTCTATCCTAAAGTTTTAATAAGACTGTGCTCTGCCATGGATTATTTTATAACATTTTGTTACTACACAGCACCACTGCCATAACACTTAAAAAGGCAAGAAACCAACAGCATTTGGATCAAATCTGTGGATAAAATGTCTTAACAGTGAGAGCGTGCAGTGCTTTCACCTCTATTTATGAGCATGAGGTAACCTTATCTCTCATGCAAGGGATTTCAAACCATCCATAAAATTAATGTATGAGATGACTGAGCTCCAAGAACAATAATGTAATCAGAATTTGTTTTTTTAAATATTACAATATTGAGGACTAGACAGGATCATTTCTACACAAACTATTTCTGTCATACATCTTGGGCCAGATGTTTGAGATTAATTAATAATCAAACGTCTTGAAGGTATCCATTTGGCATGACGCCAATTCGTGAAGATTGTAATTCACATGTCCAAAGACATAAAGCCACAAACCATGATCCAATAACTCTCCTCGTTTAGCCCAACACGTACTGACGTCTAAATTAAATCCAAACTAAACACAGAACAACTCCTCTCATACTAGGAGTCACATAAGATGTTAACCATGGACGTCACTCGGCGTTTAAACTTTAAATATGTATCCAATTTTCTCAAACACAGCGCCTGTTTGTCTTCCCTGCCCCGACATGGCAGAGTCCCACATGCCATTTTGCAGAGCTATCCCTCCAAGTCATCCAACAAGACGCTTGCATGAGTGTGGCAAGAACGATTTCTAATTTATAAAAGCCAAAAGGATCGATTCAATATTCATGAACAATCTGTCCCATCGCAATGAGCCATTTCTGTAACCGGGGGACAGTATGATGACAGCGCAGCGACATAAACAAAAGTTCTGTCTCCATGTATTCTGGACTACTTCAGCCTTGTACATCTTCCTTTGTCCCCAAATATTTCATTGACACATTTTTTTTTTTTTTAGGATATGCCTATACCTACTTTTTTTGTGACTGGCAAATGACCGGAAGGTCTTTTTGAACCTTTTTATTGCAGTCCGTGTCTTACAAACACAAGAGCATGAGAGAGGAAAGAATGAGTATTGAGTTTTACAGGTCAAACTCATGCCTGTGCTTTCATCATGGAAAAGTTTCAACTCTATCTGATTTTCCATGTAAAATACCATTAAAGTCATCTTCCATATTGGGTGGGTATTGAAACAGGCTAGTGAAACTGTGCTCTTATTTGTCTTCTGCGGGACAGCTGGATCTGACAAGGGGAGACTGTCTGAGATAAAGTCAGTCCTACCCAATAAAGCATCTGGAAATCATTGCTATTCCTCATTGTACACTCAAGGAAATACACAGGTTTTATTTTAAACAATCTTTTTTTCCTTTTTTTATAGCCTGGGAAGAGCTCTTTGACTTCGACAAATTGCATAAACAAAACAATTAGTCCTATAAAACTTTTAAGATGTTGTGCTGTTTTAAAGTGCTGTGTATTTTAGTAGCACTTTTTATACTTGCCTCCTGATTTAGCTATAGACCACTATAAAAAAGGCAAACTCTGGAGTTCTGTGCTGTAAAAAAGTATATGATCAAGTTACGACAATATTAAATAAAGTTTAAGTTATACAATATTCAGCTTATTTTTAAAAGTCAGTGTAATGTAATTTAAGTTGAAATGACTTAAACATCCAAGTTGATTGTACCTACTTAAAATCAATGCATTCTCACCCCAAGGCGTCACCTTTTGACCATGCTTCAATATTCGACGCTTTAGGCGCCCTTTAGCGTCAGTTACATGACGCGATCCTACGCCGTCATTTAAATGGTTAGTTCACCCAAAAATGAAAATTCTGTCAGTATTTCCTCACCCTCATGTTGTTCCAAACCTCTATGTGTTTATTTGTTCTGCTGAACACAAAGGAAGATATTTGGAAGAATGTTTTAATCAAACAGATCTCATTCCCCATTGATTACCATAGTATGTATTTTTTCCTACTATGGTAGTCAGTGGGGAATCTGTTTGATCAAAACATTCTTCCAAATATCTTGCTTTGTGTTCAGCAGAAAAAATAAACACATTGAGGTTTGGAACAACATGAGGGTGAGTAAATACTGACAGAATTTTCATTTTTGGGTGAACTAACCCTTTAACTAACGCTAAAGGAAAAGCGTCAGTTAGCCTAGATGACGCGGGTAGGTTTGGGTCTTGGGTAGGGTAACGCGCGGTCATCTAACTGACGCTAAAGGGTGCCTAAAGCGTCAGATATTGAAGCATGGTCAAAATGCTTTCCAAGGCGTCAGTTAGGTGATTTTGGGACTGGGAGTGAGAATGGGCTGTTAAAATTTAAAGCAGCATTTTTATTTTCTTTCCCCCCAATCAGTTACATAATGTACCTTCGTGCAGATACGGCGTTTTGTTGTAATTGGATTAGCGCAAGGGGGGGAAATAGCCTAAATAAACCTTTTTTTTCCACACACCTCTGGAATCTTAATTAAAAACAGTAATTTGACGACTGTTCTGTTTTCAGGAAAACAAACTAAAACATCTGGGCAATCTTCTTGCTAAAAAAAGGAAAATAGACTTAGAGGCTTGGCTTGTTTTTGTTCTGTTTTTTTTTGTTCAGGAACACTTTATTCAAGAGATGCATATGGATTACTGGGATACTCCTGCACGGAAAGTGTTGCCACACACTGCCATCTAGTGAGACACCCAAGTCTGACCAATTTCACCTTTGTTTCACAGTGTACATTCACTCGTTATAGGGCAATTAGGTCATTTTTGATTAAATCCCCTTCAGTGAGACTATTCTATTAATCTTTGCTTTTCTCTCCCAATAACGTCTTTAAGTAAAACCCAATAGCATGTCAAATTCAATAAACTTGAAGTGACAGTTCATCCAAAATTAAAATTCTGTCATAATAAACTCACCATCATGACGGTCTTATATGATGTTCTTTCTTCCATGTAACACCAAAGGAGATATTAGCAGGATGTTGGCAATACATTGAAGTGGAGGTTGTTGGGCTTGAAAAAGGACAACAACATCAAAAATCAGAAAAGTAATCAAAAGACAAGGTAACAGTAGAGTACCACAATGCACACAATTTTCACAAAATAATCAGTCTCTGGGAAAAAAAAAAAAATGTAAATACTATGTAGTTTTAGTAACTACTGGGTAATAATACTAACCCTGAACCTACCCCTAAACCTACCCCTGTTCCATGTACTTACCTTATATTAGCCAGTACTTTCTAGGTAAGTACACTGTAAGTACTGTACTGTATAAGGAGTTACCAAAAAAATTAAAGGAAAAACAAATACAACTCTGAGGGATAAGTATTATTTCATGTCTGGTAAATAAATTGTTTTGCAATCACACAGAATGACAGACATTGCATCATCTGAATTGGCAAGTTATTAATTGTATATATGGCACATGCTTTTCAGCTAAAACCTAAAAAACCTAGATGTCTGATCATGAGGTCTACTAACGTTAGGTTAGCCTACTAAAGTTAGGCCTAACGTACTCAAGTTACTAATGTAGTAGGCCTACTTTAGCTTTGCTCACAATAATGGGCCCTCATTGTCTGATTTGCTTAGTTGTTAGCCAAAAGTTTGGTAATATTTTTTTTTCTATAGGCTATGTGTTTCCCATTGTTAGTTTCAAATGAAAGTCTATCATTTTTGAATGATAAGGTTTAATGAACGATGTTTAAAGGTAGCGGGGCAAGTTGTGACAACGTCTTTATTATTTTACACACATTGAATAATTATATTTATCGTTACTTAACGTCACTTTCTGAAAAACGACAGTCTCACGATTTGTCTGTTCTCCCATCCGAGTGGTGGCGCTAAGTATTAAAAATGTCTCGTTCAAGAAGCGAAGAACCAACCCGCAATGACGTCAAGAACAGGAAGGTCCGACAAGCTTTGTTTATCAACTTGTCGCGATCACGTTCACTTCTTATTTTTTCCAAGTCTGTAAACTTATATATGGCTTTAATGACATGATTTGAAGTCTGTAAACTTATATATGGCTTTATGACATGTCTTCAGCAAAAAGAGAAGGAAATATGATTGCGCGCTGACTTCGCGAGCGGCTATTGAAACTAAGCAGTGACTATAACGTTTATGTATGTGGGAGCGGCGGAGAGCATGGGGAGGAATCAGCTGATTATTTGACTCGCTGAACACATGATTCGTCAAGATCCCTATAGTGTCTATTCCAGTCATATGCATTCTAAACCAAACCACAGCGGTAGAACTGCAAAGAGCTTAACTCCGTTTTTATCTGTTACTTATCTCTGTGTCAAACTCCATTGGAGTGGAGTGTAATGTAAGAGGTTAGTGTCCGTTGGAAAGATGCCGTGCACATGCGGGAACTGGAGGAGGTGGATTCGGCCTCTCGTGGTTCTGCTGTACATTCTGCTCCTTCTGGTTGTCCTTCCACTCTGTATATGGGAACTACAAAAATCAGGGGTCAGAAGTCTTTTTTTATATAATTACACACATTTAGCATTTAGCAGCTGACTGTCAAGAACGTTCCTATAATGCTGTAGTAAACAAGCAACCACTGAGTCTTATTGACCTACAAGGGAAACAATACATAATTTGGTCTCTTTATTATGGTATACAATGTCTAAAGAACCTGTAAGTTTGATTTTATTTGGTCCCAAAGTGTTTTGTTATTGAAAATGCATGTTTCTACATTACAATTTAGAGTAATCTGTTATCAGAGGTGACTGTGTCAAAGAAATGTCCAATGTGAAGTTGTTATCATGTTACAGTAGTATATAGACAATTTGGCAGTGGTGTATGCATGTTGATTTAAAGTTGCTGGCATCTCTTCAAAGGTGTTTGCATCTGATTATATTTTTAACTAAAACTATTTAAAGTGATTTCTGTTCATTTAAATTAAGCTGAAACAAAATAGAAATACTGCTTTAAAACCTATGCTAAAAAAATAAGCAAAATAAGTAAATGTTGTCTTGCCAACTAACTGACCTAAAATTAGTGTGAGTTGAAATGCTAAAATGATTAAACGATAGCCTAGTTTCACAAATAGGGTTTAGATTAAGCCAGGATTAGGTCTTAGTTCAATTTGGACATTTAAGTAGCCTTTATAAAGATGCCTTAGAAAAAATATATATTACTGGTGTCCATCTAGAGAGAAAACATTGACACTGACATATTTTAAGAAATCCCAGTGCAAGTTGTGTTCAGTTAAAACAGATCAAACATGCATGTTTGTCTGGGACTAGACTTAAGCCTTGTCACTGAATCGGAGTAAAACTGGGATAAAAAATAAATAAAAATAAAACTAATTAGAAATATTAAAAAAGCTAATAAAAATGACCAAAGTGCATAACAAAATTGTTCAAATTTAAACTCAAATTATAAATGAAAATTTGATAATCAAATCTAGTGTAAAATATAAATAATGTAAGTATATATTATATATAAATAGTTCTAAAATAACAACAATTTTGTAGAAAATAAACACACACACATATATGCATATATATATATATATATATATATATATATATATATATATATACACACACACATACACACACTACTTTTTTGAAGTTTTGATCATTTTAATAATGTCTAGTTTTCACAGTCGCTGTATTTTTTCTTTGTAATCACATAGGTTAGTATTCAAAATAAGGCATGGTTCATCGCTGGGTTATTCGTGTTCATGACTATACCCATATCACTGTGGGGGATACTGCAGCATCTAGTGCACTACACCCAACCTGAGCTACAAAAACCCATTATCAGGTATTGAGATAATATTACTTTGCCTCTAGTTAAATTTATGCAGTATTGTACATTATCTTCTGTACGATTGTTCTTTCTTTTTCTCACTTACTTTTATTTTCCATTTTTAGAATATTATGGATGGTTCCGATATACAGCCTGGATAGTGTGAGTATCTTGTGATCACCTTATGGCCCCTAAAATGTTGGTATTTGAATCGAAAATGGCTTCTTTGATGTTTGCTATCCAACTTAGATTGCCTTCAATTGAATGCTGGCCTTTTTTTCTGTTTGACAATGAGTTAATGTGAGGCCTGATGGTGCAGATGCTCATGAGTTACATTACTTAACAAGCTGGAACAGACATTAAATTGACCAAACTCATGTGCATCTAATCTTTTTTGAGCAGCAGGATATCATTTGTCTGTGTTGTGTATATGGAATCCCTTTATTCTAATGTCGTTGGTCCCTTCATCTGTTTTCACAGTGGATAGCGTTGAAGTATCCCAGCATTGCCATCTATGTAGACACATGTAGAGAGTGCTATGAGGCCTATGTTATCTACAACTTCATGATCTTCCTTCTCAACTATCTGGGGAACCAGTATCCCAGTCTGGTGCTGATGCTGGAGGTGCAGGAGCAACAAAAACATCTCCCTCCTCTTTGCTGCTGCCCACCGTGGCCCATGGGAGAGTGAGTGTTTGCATAAACACAGTTATGATACAACAGTTGGATAACTTGATGCAGGATGTGGTTTTTAATGCATATTTGTTGTTAATATTACTCAAAGAGAAAGTTAAGATGTTAGCTGAGGCTCTTATGTTTAGGGCCTCCATTACCTGTTTACCATCTTCTCCTTTGGAGCCTTCGTCAAAGTGCAGGATGGGAAATGAAAGTTTAGAGACAGCAGAAAGGGATTTTTCTAAATTGCTTGCAGATTGAACACTTTCTTGTGGTTGTTGGCTGCCTTTAGCTATTGCCGCTGACAGCAGCACATTTTAAATTTACATTAGGCAGGGGTAGAAATGTGTGAAGAGTTTGTTGATTTAAATCAGCATTTTTTTTAAACTGAAAAAATATGTTTGTGTTCTGCTTCAGAGGACAGTGAAGCTCTGTTATGTGCCTGCTAACTTAACTGTTTTATGCAAATTTTATTTTTCTGTATACCTTACCAATACCTTTTTAAACATTTCTTTAGAGTATAACTTACCAATATTTTCTCAATTTTCCTATATTTTAATATTGCGAATGGAACATTTACCTAGCTCATTTTTTTCTTAACAGAGTGCTTTTGCTGAGATGCAAACTGGGAGTTCTCCAGTACACAGTTGTGAGACCTCTCACCACAATCATTGCTTTGTAAGTGTTACTTTATTGGGTTTAACACCACAAAGAGACACAATATATGCACTCACAACATTCATCATTCACAACAAGTTTACACATTATCATTCAAACAAGTTTATATAATGGCAAAGCTGAATTTTCAGAAGCCATTCTCCAGTCTTCAGTGTCAGAAATCATTCTTATATGCTCATTTTGTACCATTCTTATTATTATCAATGTTGAAAAATGTTGTGCTCCTTAATATTTATGTGGAAACTGTGAGACATTTTTATCCCCATGATGTTTTTTTAAATGAAAAGTTTAAAAGAACAGTATTTATTTAAAATATGAATATTTTATAAATGTCTTTACTATCACTTTTGATCAATTTAATGCATCCTTTCTGAATAAAAGTTGAAAGGATTGGAACGGTAGTATTATTTCTGTTAGTGAATTTTGATCAACAAACCCTTTTGGTCTACATTAATGGCTCCATATGTTTCTGTGCTCTGATACTTTTAAACACAAAAGTCTATTTAGTTTCCAGGTACTAAAAAAATACGCCCTATTATAGACTATATTTTGAAATGTACTCTTAAATTGAGCATTGTAACAGTTCAAAATAAAGCTTTAGCTGTTAGTCGGTCATTTCAATGTCATTTTTGTCCTACCAAATTAGGATTTGTCAGCTTTGCGGTGTCTATGATGAAGGCAACTTCAGTTCAAAAAATGCCTGGACATATCTGGTTATTGTCAACAATCTCTCTCAGCTTGTAAGTACCTGTTTTTTTTTTTTTTGTTTTTTTTTTTCCACTGAATATTATGCAAGACTGTCACATGAGCTTATGCTACGGAATGAGTTTACAGTTACAGCCAGGAGCCAAACAGCAGTAAAAGGAAGATACAGTGTAACTAAAGCCTTATTTACAGAGACATCTTATCGATTTTTTTTTTAATCAACAGTAAAACAAAACAGACAGCCTCTCATTTGTGTTCATGCAGCTCATAAATATTAAAAGCTTAAGGAACATGATGCAACAACAGTGAATAATTATTGATAGTCCGAGTTAAACGGTAACCTGAAAACCTAATGTTATTGTGCTAATGGTGCACTTGTTTTCTCTCTTCAGTTTGCCATGTACTGTCTTGTGCTGTTTTACAAGGCTCTGAGAGAAGAGCTGAGTCCCATAAAACCTGTGGGCAAATTCCTCTGTGTCAAGCTGGTGGTTTTTGTGTCATTCTGGTAAACCGTTCTCTACACATCGCACATATCAATCGTGATCTACTGATGACTGTTATAAGCATGTTTAGTTTGTTATTCAGTGTAGTTTTCTCTGCACAACTAGAGTCATGGTAGTTAATGGTTATTACTGGCAGAATAGACCTTGTTCAGAGCAGCGCCATGACAGGTATGAAAGTGAGGCTGTGAGGGATAGACTTACTGTGTTTCCAATGGCATCCGCTGTAAAAAGCTGAATAAAGCAGCTAGATTACTTACAATTTTCCACAGCTTACATTGTCGGGAGTTTTTTTGTCAACTGACATTACTTTGAAAGATATTTTTCCAGTGTTTCATGAGCAGAACAATCCGAAAACACATTAAATAACAATACAGGCCATTGAAGAGATGCAAGTCTATCCCTCACAGCCTCGCTTTCATTCTCATTTAAAATCAAAGATGGCGCTGCCGTGAATAAGGCGTATTATTATAAACATTGGTGAATCTCACAAAGCCAATATCAAATATTATTGGATGATGGATGGATGGATATTGATTTTATGTCACCATGTAATGTTTTATTTAATTCAGTTGTTTTACCTGTCTTAGGCAAGCCGTGGTCATTGCGCTTTTAGTGAAGGTTGGTGTAATCTCAGAATCTCACACCTGGGAGTGGGACAGTGTGGAGGCTGTAGCCACTGGATTGCAGGTGTTGTACTTTGTCCTGAGCACTAAACTACTTTTTTTGACTGGCTTGGTACACTTGGTACACTAACTGGTACTCTTGCTACTGCAGGGCCACAAATGAACTTCTAGTTGCACGAGTGGAAGTGACCTTCAAGATTAATAGTCTGTGATTTTCTGTTCTCATAGGACTTCATCATCTGTGTGGAAATGTTTTTGGCAGCCATTGCCCATCACTTCAGTTTCACTTACAAACCCTACATACAGGAAGCAGAGGAAGGTTCCTGCTTTGATTCCTTCCTGGCCATGTGGGATATCTCAGACATACGGGCTGACATCTCAGAACAAGTGCGCAATGTCGGTGAGTCACTACACAGTCTTTTATTATTAGTGTTTTATAGTCAGAGGGTCTAGAGGCCTTTTTTTTGGTAAAAATTAGTTTTACAAAATGCTTCATCTACCTATCTGTTTGTTTGTCTGTCCTTCTGAAAAAAAAAAAAAAAAAAATTAGCTTTCTTCCAAACTATCTCAGGGGAACTGAGAACGCAAATGCATTGCCATATAATTTCCTTGAGCTCTGTATTGCACAGCCAAGAATAATGCTACATTATTACCTTTTAATAATGATATGGTCCAAGTTTCTGAACACAGAATAGGCATTGTTGACAGTGTTACAGTATTTTAGTGTTTTGACCGATTGCTGTAGCTGTCTTGGTTCAAGAGGCAACATGGAGGACATTTGAACTGATGATTTACTCATTACCACTAGTCATAGCATGAAGTCACTGTGGATAAAAGCGTCTGTTAAATGCATAAATGTAAATTAAATATACTTCAGCATCAGAAGGAATGTTGAAAGAAACAGTACAACTTCCTGAAATGCATTATGCCTCATATAATCGCTCAGTTTTTCATCTGCCAGAACGACATCAGTAAAGCAGTAAACGATAACATGTAACGTGTAAAAATAACATTTACCTCAGGAAAGCTATTCAGTGTCCATATCTATTTTGTTAGTTTGAATTTATTTGAGGGGTTGACATATCTGAAAATAAGGACTTTTTAATTGTAACCTAGGTATAATATAAAGGGTTGCCTGAATAGTTTACAGCAGACTATTTTCCTTAAGAAAAAATGGGATGTACTGTTCCTGAAACATGTATACAAAATAATTAATTGATATCAAATTAAATAAAAAGCTTGATAATCAAGGTCTTTTCTCATGGAAAAGTAGTTTTGATTAAATGCGATACATTTTCTCATATCGTGAGCTTAGAATTATAAGGTTCTATCTCCACTTTTGGTCGAAATTGAGTTTTTTTGACATAATCTGATCCATTAGGTGTTCATTAATGCCTGTGTGGTGTTATTTTTGTAAAAAAAAAAGAAAAAAAAAGATAAAGCTATAATAGAAGATTATATTACATAGCAGTTTTGCCAGCTGGCATGTAAAAACTTTGATGCTCAATATCTCAGAACTACCCTAAACGGAGATAGAACTTTATAATTCTAAGCTCACGATATGTATTCTCTCGTGATTTCATCTGACTCCTTAAATGAGACATTTTTTAATGATATCTGTGCATCATTAAATATGAGCGAACGTTTGTCTATTCCTTTTAACTATAATGAAATAATGTCAAAGTCAGTTAGAATCAAAATAATCAAAATTAATTATTTTGGGTTCATTTTGGGCACTATTTATTATGTCAGATGTATAATCAGTTCAAAGATAATCAATACAAAACATCAAATGCTCTGGAATAAAGAGAAGACGAACCTGACATTAGGAAATACATGAATCCCCGTCAGCTCTCAGCATTCAGGGGCTGACCTGAGATACAGAAAAGGTCCCAAGCCCCTGGCTGCATTTCATTATATAGACTAACAATGGATATTTGCATTCTGAAGTAACACCATTTGGGGTTAGGACCGTTGGTCCGACTTTATATTAAGTGGCTTTAAGTACTATGTACTTACATTTAAAAATAAGTACAATGTACTTATTGTGCTCATGTTGTATAGTAAATCACTTTTGCTGCTATTGAGGTGTGATATGGGTAAGGTTAGGGACAGGTGTGGTGGTATGGGTAGGTTTAAGGGTGGGTTTAAGTGTAAGGGATGGGTCAGCTGTGTAATTACAGATGTAATTACATATATTAATTACAGCTGTAATTACATGCTGGTATTTTTAAAATATAAGTACAATGTAAAAACTGTACACAATAAGTCCTAAAAAAATGTATGTACACAATAAGTCCATTGTATCAAATTATTCATTTCAATGTAAGTACATGGTACTTAAAGCCACTTAATATAAAGTGTGCCTGGTATCTCTAAACCCTTAAAACCTTATTACATTTTGTTTTACTTATTAAATGAGCCAGTTAAATGTACCAGTCACACTGAGACATTTCGATTGATACTAAACAAATATAATACTTGATGATAATCAGAGATTAGGATGAGGGAGGTGAGACGTTCGTCTCAATAGTGCACGAGGGGGAGTTCAATTGTTAATTTTTAGCGTCAACCAGTTTTTCCAGTCTTACAGAATGAGAATCTAATCGTTTTGTGAAACCCTATTAAAACAGTTATGCATCATACGTGTATGTGCTTTGTTTTTATTACTTCAGGGAGAACTGTCATGGGTCGGCCAAGGAAAACATATTTTGGTGAAGAGGTTTGCCAGGGCGAGAACACGGGACTGCTGTCAGGTGGAGCTCAGGATCCAGTTGAATCGTCTTCCACCCCTCCATCCCCCAAGGGCCGTTACCAGGGCATGGGTCACACTGTAACCCCTCACTCCATCTCTGCTCCTGCAAACCTTGGCTCAGGCTGCATACCATGGGAAGGAGATGTGGATGACATCCCGCCAACTGGGATATCTGACGATTGTACAGAGAAAGAGTGTTCAGACTATCCGGAGATTACTTAGCATCAGCGACCAACACTTTTATATTTAAAGCACATCAATCAATCTAGCTACCGTTAACTCCGCTAACTACTGGATAGCTGTGGCTAATATGGGTTCAGAGAGGCTCGGTGAAGCTTTGGTAGCAAGCGGGTATTATAAAGGACTTGGTTGGTCCGAGGTTTTTTTCTCCGTTTTGCTATTATTTTGCTGACCATATTATAAACTGACCTTAAAGTCAAGCACAGTAATTCCCCAATACCAGTTTTAAAATGTAATAATCAGTTAATGGTTCTTTTAAGACAGCTTTATGAATGTTTACTCTAAGAAACACTATGTATTTATAACACTACTTCACAATTTTGTTGACGCTGGATTTGGTTAGCAAGTAATTTTTACACCTTTTTTTATCATTAGTGTTGCTTTCACTAAATACTTTTATGTTAATGCAAATACTTTTAGTTATTTTTTTAAGGAGCAGCACCTTGAACATGGACAGTAATATGAAATTGCCAGGATGCCATTAAGATTTGGAACAGGATGTTTCAGGATATATGCATGTGTTAAAGCAACTACAGTTTTGACTGTACATCAGCTTTTAAGCACAAAGTACAAAGTACTGAAACTCATATTTGCTCAGTTCTTTTCAGAGATTTGAGTTCTTAAGTTGGACTGCTTGCCTTCTAAACAGCTTCATGCAATTGCATCAAAACATAAATGTGATCTTTTACTTTATTTTGTCAGACATTAGTTAGAAAGAAAAAAAATATACATTTTATTTTTGGTTGTTTTAATGGCTAGAGAAAGACAATTGTTACTTTGAAAAGTATTGAAAATGTATATTGACTTTTTAAGCTAACCTCGGGGAATGATGCAATGTTTAAATATCCGCCAAAGCTGTCTTATTGCTATTAAAGGGGCAGTTTGACCAAAAATGAAACTTCTGTCAAAATGTGCTTTCTCTCATGTCACTTTCTTCCATCATTGAATTCTTTCACACATGAGAAGCAAACCTAAGTTTTCCTCATGACATGGGGGTGAGTAATTGATGACAGGATTTTCATTTTAGGTGAAATCTTCCCTTTAAGAAATAGTCTTTTTCTTTGTTAATATTGGGTGTCAGTAGTCTGTTACACAGCATTATTAGCTGCACATGAGCTATAAATGTCAGATATATAGCATAACCGCACAGGAATATTGTTAAATCATTACAGATGTGGAACTGTGGGAAATCCCATTTATTTGTTTTTATGAACTGTCATGTGTCTCTGTTTCATTCAGAGATGCATATTCTCCAATGGTTTGTACTGCTGTTGCTTTGCCTTATCTAACAGTGGTTGTCACAAATAATTAAACTTCACATGGAAATGTATATTGAGTATTTCTGCTGAAATCCGATACTAACTTCACACAGAAGTTGTCATTTACTTACTCCCATGTCATTCCAAACCTGTATGACTTACTTCTATGAAAGAAGAATATTGGTAAACAAATAATTTTGGTTTCTACCGACTTCTATTCTACTGAAGAAAAAAAAAAAAATATATATATATATATATTATATATATATATATTTATTTATTTATTTTATTTTATTTTTGAGGGTTTCGAACAACAAGGGTAAGTAAATTAATTTTTATTTTGAAGTGAACTTTCTTTTTAAACATACCTACAAGAATCATCAAGCCAAACAATCATGGTGAAATTATTTTAATGTAAAATGTGCTCTGTTGCTAAAAACAATAACTTTGTTTACAATGCAGCAATTAAATAATTGCCCTTTAGGAGTATGTTAAACTATATATCGGTACTGAATCCCTCCCATCATGAGATCGCCTCACAGGCTCTGCCTGCCTGGTGACATCATCTGCCCCCCTATTCCTGTTTAACAGCTGTAATGGATATGCTGCTCTTGTGAAGCCGGATGCTGAGGCGGACCCACTCTCCTCTGCTGACCACCAGGGGTTGCTGGAGAACCACCGCCGCCTGCTTCCAGTGAGAGTCCTCACTGTAGGTGCTGACGCTCTGCTCAGAGTCCAGATGGATCTGGTACCAGAAGGGAATGGCAGTCACCTTGCCTGAGGTGCTGACCTGCACCTAACCAATGCAAAAGAATAAAAAAGCACCTTAATAGGACATTGTGGGGCCTGTAAGGGGGACTCAAAATGACTTACAATTAGATAAACAGTTTAAGTTTATTCAGTTTTAAAATAAGCTAAAACAACCAAGTATCAATATATTTCTAGTTTTAATTCACCCCCTCAACAACTGTTTGTTTCCTCTGAAGACACAGGGTTCACTTGGTCCCCCAACTTATTCTGGACTTGGAGAAGCCGTATAAATTAATTAAAAAAAATGACTAAATGACTTAGGAAATTGTATAATTTATTACTATTCTCTAAGATATTTTATCTTGTATAAATTGTGAGTAAAAATACTTCTTTTAAAGGTCTTTATCCATTAATCAGAATGATGAGAAATGCAAATTAATTTATAAATATACTGAACTATTTTTTTCCCCCAGTTTTCAGTTTAAAGTTTTAGTAATTTTACTACACCCAATATTTCGTATTTTTATTTCAATTCATGATATTTCTAACTAACAACACTAATAGAGGGAACCCAAAAGAACCAGAACCAAAAACTCACTTTGACTTCTTTGTCGGTGTAATTGGCAGTGTTGTTCATGAGGTCTAGTGCGAAGAGTTCTATTGGTTCACTAAGATGTGTACATTCAAGGGTGGACAGGTCCAAAAACATATGAACAGGTACCTGAGGGAGAAAACACACATTACAGAGATATTTTATCAAATTTACAGAAAACCGCAAATCATGTACGTTATTGTATTTCTCTCAGTGCTGACTTATCAGAACACCCCAGTCCATACACAGCTTTAATACAATAGGGAATGAAATGGAAAATGAGAACTTTGACAAGCTATCTTTCATATCTCACTAATTGTATGACATCAACATGTTGTTTCTGTTAAGGAAGCTTTACAATAAACCACAAAGCAAGGTTGTTTCAGGTAATTTTGGTGCCAAAGGTGGCAAATTTGACATGTACACTGAGATTCAATTCAATTCAATAAAACCTAAAAAAAAAAAAAAAAAAAATGGCATTTGCACTAGAATGTGCCCTTGATTTTGCAGGTCAAAGTCGAGCAAACTGAATGCAAACATTACACAATTGGGGGCAGCCATGGCCTGATGGCATTTTTGAAAGAAGTCCCTTATGCTTACCAAGGCTGCATTTATTTGACACTAAAACAAATTAATATAATTGTGAAAAATAATCGTAAACAACAATTGTGAAATGTCTGTAGAGTTTAAAATAACGATAATATTTGAATATATTTTAAAATATTATGATTCATAATCAATGACTGATGCTAATGTAATGCACTTGACAAGATGTTATGATGGAGATGAACAAAGCCAACGTTTCCATTTTTACCCTCTCCTTTAAGTTTTAAATAAAGCATTTGCAAATTACTATGGAAACTGATATGTGTATACAAATCTAATTTACAAACCAAGTATATATATATATATATATATATATATATATATATACTTGGTTTGTATATATAAAGCCAAGTATATATACTAAATGTATGTATATATATATATATACATACACACACACACACACACACACTTGGCTTGTATACTAAATCAGATTTAGTTGCAGAGTGAACAAGCAAAGTCTGAATTACATTGAATGTTAAAATGCCAGAGAACATTTCAGAGCAAATACAGGACCTCATACACAAAAACAAGATATGAATAGTAAGCACAGTATTCACAGAGCTATTAAAGAACATACTGTGAATTGATTGATGAATGGAGCGATGTTGAACCCAAGAGTCGGCTCTCTTCCCTGAACAGCGCTTTCCAGAAGCAGCGTGTCTGACTCAACAAGCATACCGTGGATCACAATGCGCTCTGGAAAAATCTGTCCACCGTCCTCCAACAAGCACCTGAAATGTTTACAAGAAGAACTGTAAGCCAACCTAAAGAAAATAACTAACCATTAGTGTGTTTTACACTCTTACCTAGCTAACGTTGCTTTCTCCAACAGTTTCTGTCTAATAAGGCCGCAAGTCTCTATGCAGTCTAGTATGATGACGCTCCAGAGCTTCTCGATGGATGGCCGCTGAAGAACTGCAGAATCGTCCTCTACGTGACTCAACCAGAACTCTAGTGCACTTTCAAGCACACCATTTTCTTTGGCCAGCAGTCTCAGCATAGTCTGGTGATGTTCCTTCTCAACTGAGCTGTAGGCTTGAACCAACCTAGAGCTGTTTTGTTTATCTTCACTTGAATCGGAGTCTAACTGGGCTGCCATCAAGGAGAGCACAGAAAAGCCCTCAGAGACATCAAGCACATAGATTGGGTCTGACTCCTGTGACCTCCTAGTCGACTTTAGAGAAACCAAAAGTTTGCTCATGGCCTTCTGGAAGCTGTTATGATACGCCGTGTTATTGAGGAGGGCGATCTCTGAGGACTCCAGCATAAAAGCGCGATCAGGTTTCTCCTGGGTGGTTTGGAGGCCAGCCAGAGCACTGCACAGCTCTGTCTCAGGGTTTGCATTGAGGATTTTGGAAGGTCCTTTGGTTGCATTGTCCATTTTAAATGTGTGTCCGTCTCTTACGATAGCAATGCAGCACAGCCTCAGATAAGAGTCCTTACAGGAAACCTCCACCAGTATTTCATCACCACATTTCACAGTGTCTGAGGGACGACATGAATTGATTTATTTATTTAACGCCATACCACTATCGAATGCTATATTCATGGCAAACTCAAGAGTATTACAATTTGCAATACTCATAATAAGGGACAACATGAATTAAAGGAGCTGTATGCAAGACATTTATTTCAATTAATCATACATTTTCCCTGATATGTCACTAGACATTAAGAAATCATGTTCATTTCAAATACATATATCACTGACAACAGTAGTCCGGCCAGAATATTGTCATTTAAAAAGTGAAGTCGCAGCCCTTGACTGATGTTGATGTTGTCAAGTTGTGTTTTGTTCTGATGCATCACCCTCCACCGATCTACGTACCAATCACGGACTCAGTAGTGTTGTGGCATTCGGGTTGCCAGCTCTTCTCTAGTTACCACAACTGCATATACAAACGTGTCGGAATCGGATAAAAAAATTCTAAAGTTGCGAAACCCCCAAAAAACTCTAAATGAATCCAAAATACTTTGTTACAAAGTCCAAAATAAATAATTAACAGAAAAAAAAAACTCAGTGTAGGACTCGTCACTTGCGAAGCTTGCAGATTGCAGAGCCAGTTTTGGCTACAATCTTGCATACAGCTTCTTTAAAGTCCATTCATTAGGTGTGTTTGACTTGCGCTGCATAGACCAATCTATGTATATAATTAAAGTACAGTGAGAGCGATTCGAAAGCATGCAGAGCCTACTTTCAAGACACACCGATTGATCTGTGCAGCACCACTTCAAGTCGAACACACCTATTATTATTTAAAGAATCTTTTGACATTAGAACTGGTTTTAGACAAACCTTTAATCTTCTTCACTAAATATGACTGAACACTGGTTTCAAAGATAGGTGTTAAGCTAGTTCCAGACTAAAACAGATGTTTGAACTGTAAGCAACTTGCACTTATATATCTTAAAATATGTCAGTGTCACTGTTTTCTCTCAAGATGACGCTTTTCTTTTCCTTAGGCATGTTTATAAAGCCTACTTAAATGTCCTAATTGAACTAAGTATGTTTTACACTCTTACCTAGCTAACGTTGCTATCCTGGCTTAATCTACTGTAAACCCTGTTTGTGAAACCAGGCCTCAATCTAATGCAAATATGATACGCAAATTAACAGCTACGTATTAGTTTCAACCTTTTGTGATGCATTTTGAACACACAAAAAAATTGTGCTGCATGAAATAGTCAGTTTGAAGTTTCTTACAAAATCAAGTCTAATGCCAAGTCTGCTATTGTGGCATTACCCATTTAAAAAAAAAAAACACCAATAAATTGTGTACAAGTGCATAGTTGGCCAAATGGTCAGGTTTTCTGTCTAAATGGGCAGTTGTTTTGAAAAATTAGCTTATGAAATCTAAAAAAATAAGATCAAAATAACCTAAACGGTCTACTCTATATTGAAGGGTAAATTGCTGCTAATGTGCAATTAGTGAGACTACTTCCTTTTCTTGTAGGAAAAGGGTTGTGTTATTAATGCATTAAGAAACGCATTAAAGCGGCTTAGAGCAGTGGTTCTCAACCTTTTTCACTCCAAGGAAGCCCATTGTCCACAACAATATGCGAAGGTCCCAGAAATAGCCTAGATTAAAATAAATAATTATATTAATTATAACTAAAATT